GAACATTCAGAACCTTCAGAACCTTTAGAACCTTCAGAGCCTTTAGAACCTTCAGAACCTTTAGAACCTTCAGAACATTCAGAACCTTCAGAACATTCAGAACATTCAGAACCTTCAGAACATTCAGAACATTCAGAACCTTCAGAACATTCAGAACATTCAGAACATTCAGAACCTTCAGAACCTTTACTACCTTCAGAACCTTTAGAACCTTCAGAACATTCAGAACCTTCAGAACCTTCTCCCGTTCAGGAGGAATGACCACAGATTAAAAACGTAGAAATGGTTTTTAGTGGATATTCCATATTTTATTTTCCGCTCTATAAGTCTCCCTAGTTTTTCATAAATCTTGGCTCGTCCTGCATTTTATTGTCAGGATTAATTTATAGATGTTATATTTTTTGACTGATTGGTTAAATATGAGTTCATACGAACCAAGGACCAAACGTTGTCGTCTGCAGCCGTGAGGAAAGAAGACACTTTGCTGAAAGTTTGGAGCTGCAGGATCAGTTTGAACATAAGGATGTGCTGCTGCTTTTCTAACAGCAGTGCGTTCAGATGGCCATGTCTGTCGGTCGGCGCTACCTTTCCAAACTAGCAGTTACTTCTCCTTGGACGACTTTATTGGTCGTTCCTCATCCCTTCTTCTGTTTCTGGCGCCGTTTGGACCAATTTAAATTGTGACGCCACCAAATATGGATCATGTAATATTTTCTGTTGAGGTACAATTATGTGAAATAATTGTTAATTTAACCCAGATAAGCTGAATAATGAAGTTTACCTGCAGGCAGCGTGATGTTACTCATCGATCCGATGTGATCAGTCTGGCTGTCGCTTCACAAGCAGCATGTTAACATGAACTTCCTCTGATAAAAGTCAGAGGAATTTAATTGAAATAACAGGAATAGATAAATCATAGAATCTGCCATGAAAGTCGTGGTTTATCAGATCAAACTGGAAATTGATCTCTAATTTCCAGTCTGACAGATTCTGTTTCTGTCCTGTCAGATCTGGTCCAGCAGACCAGAGGCACCAAACACCTCCATTCCTTTTGATTTCATGTTTTTTTGAGTTATAGTCATTGCTGTTGCACTTTTCTTCTGTTGTCTTTATGTTTTAATTTACTGTGACTGTAAAACATGCACTAGAGGCAGACTGGACGGGTCTGTCAGGTTCTGCAGCCTAACTGGACCTCATGAACCGCCAACATGTTGATGGGTTCTGAGCTGCAGGTTCTGGATCGTCACTATCCGCTTCAGCTGCCTGCCAGTCGGTGGGCTTCGGTTTGCACTAATTTAATGTCTAATTGCTTTCATTGTTCCTCCGGGACCCACTTTGGAGGGGGGCCTGACGTAACACATCGGTCCATGAAATGCATCCATGGGTCATTTCATTCTCACCAATGAAAGAAAACATACAGCAGCAGCTGCTCTGTTTCCTACAAATGAGGATTCATGAGGAAAGATGCGCGCACAGCTTCATACATCCAGATATTTTTGCGCCGCACTTTTCTAAATCTTTTTGAAGTTTCAGTGTGAAAACAGCCTCTCTTTTATGCCTGAGGCTCCTGGTGTTTCATGCCTGAGGCTCCTGGTGTTTCATGCCTGAGGCTCCTGGTGTTTTATGCCTGAGGCTCCTGGTGTTTCATGCCTGAGGCTCCTGGTGTTTCATGCCTGAGGCTCCTGGTGTTTCATGCCTGAGGCTCCTGGTGTTTTATGCCTGAGGCTCCTGGTGTTTCATGCCTGAGGCTCCTGGTGTTTCATGCCTGAGGCTCCTGGTGTTTCATGCCTGAGGCTCCTGGTGTTTCATGCCTGAGGCTCCTGGTGTTTCATGCCTGAGGCTCCTGGTGTTTCATGCTTGAGGCTCCTGGTGTTTCATGCCTGAGGCTCCTGGTTTCATGCCTGAGGCTCCTGGTGTTTCATGCCTGAGGCTCCTGGTGTTTCATGCTTGAGGCTCCTGGTGTTTCATGCCTGAGGCTCCTGGTGTTTCATGAATGAGGCTCCTGGTGTTTCATGCTTGAGGCTCCTGGTGTTTCATGCCTGAGGCTCCTGGTGTTTCATGCCTGAGGCTCCTGGTGTTTCATGCTTGAGGCTCCTGGTGTTTCATGCCTGAGGCTCCTGGTGTTTCATGCCTGAGGCTCCTGGTGTTTCATGCCTGAGGCTCCTGGTGTTTCATGCCTGATGAGGCTCCTGGTGTTTCATGCCTGAGGCTCCTGGTTTCATGCTTGAGGCTCCTGGTGTTTCATGCCTGAGGCTCCTGGAGTTTCATGCCTGAGGCTCCTGGTGTTTCATGCTTGAGGCTCCTGGTGTTTCATGCCTGAGGCTCCTGGTGTTTCATGCCTGAAGCTCCTGGTGTTTCATGCTTGAGGCTCCTGGTGTTTCATGCCTGAGGCTCCTGGTGTTTCATGCCTGAGGCTCCTGGTGTTTCATGCCTGAGGCTCCTGGTGTTTCATGCCTGAGGCTCCTGGTGTTTCATGCCTGAGGCTCCTGGTGTTTCATGCTTGAGGCTCCTGGTGTTTCATGCCTGAGGCTCCTGGTGTTTCATGCCTGAGGCTCCTGGTGTTTCATGCCTGAGGCTCCTGGTGTTTCATGCTTGAGGCTCCTGGTGTTTCATGCCTGAGGCTCCTGGTGTTTCATGCCTGAGGCTCCTGGTGTTTCATGCCTGAGGCTCCTGGTGTTTCATGCCTGAGGCTCCTGGTGTTTCATGCCTGAGGCTCCTGGTGTTTCATGCTTGAGGCTCCCGGTGTTTCATGCCTGAGGCTCCTGGTGTTTCATGTCTGAGGCTCCTGGTGTTTCATGCCTGAGGCTCCTGGTGTTTCATGCCTGAGGCTCCTGGTGTTTCATGCCTGAGGCTCCTGGTGTTTCATGCCTGAGGCTCCTGGTGTTTCATGCCTGAGGCTCCTGGTGTTTCATGCCTGAGGCTCCCGGTGTTTCATGTTGGATTGTTTCCATACATTTTGCTCTCATTCCAAAATGAAACAAATCATAAGAACAAGCTGGAACTGAGTAGAATTTTTTATTTTTAATCAGGTCAGTTTAGTGGATTATTTGTGATTTATAGGCACATGTCTGTATATGAACTCAAATGTTGGTCTGAAGTTTTATTATAGGATATTTTATAAATTTATTTTGCGTTTTGTTGCCGGAGCTTGTGGACATCATACAGTTTGATGTTATTTGGGGCATTGTTATGATCTGGGACCTGCAAAGGAAGTTATTTTACATTTTGTCAAATATTTCAACTGGTTTCCTGCATATTTGCTTTGCGGTTTGTTTTCTGCATAACCGTCAGAAAAATGAAGATACAAACTCGTCTCTCTGGACCTGGAGAGAAAGTCTGTTCTGTGCCTTCACTGTTATCAAAATAAAGTTCCTGTTTTGTTCCCACAGACTGAGTTTTGTTTTGTGTTTCCAAAGTGTGGGGCGCTGCCCTGCCCCTGAAGGGGGTGCTGCGCTGCCCCTGATGGGGGCGCTGCGCTGCCCCTGATGGGGGCGCTGCGCTGAGTTTACTGTGTTGTATTTTGTGAAATCGTAACAGCTTGTTATAAGTACAAGTTAAAACATACAGATATAGTATGTACTGTTTAATACATACAATCAGAGAGTTGTAGTAGGACCTTTTTTATTTTATTATCAGTAGGATCTTAAATGTTTGTTCTCCTAAATAACAGTACATGAAGGCTCATGCATAAACCCACATGTTGTCTTTTGCTTTGCACCAAGTCCTATTATTTTAATCTGCCTCGCTGAGATGTAGAATATTTAACACAATGTTAAATGATTCTTTGTGGTTCTGAATATAATAAATCTCCAGAGGAAGATGTTTTGATTAATAGATTAATAAAAAGCTCAAATTCAGTTCAAATTGTTGCTGTTTATGTCTTTAGGGACAAAATGCATAAAATATTACATATTAAAGTTTATCCACATTTAAATTTAAGCACTTGTTTAAATAAATCCATTTACTCCACAATTGAATCTGCATGTGTACAGCTGTCCACCAGGGGGCGCCACATTGTTCTTAAAGGCTTCAAGAAATAAAAGGAGAAAAGAAAGAAAATAAATAAAAAGCCAAATGATTCGACCTGAATAAATAAATAGTGACCAGAAATATCATTTCAACTCATCTACATGTGTTTATATACTTCAGGCAAAAATACAAACTATATGGATTTTAAAAAATTGTATTTTATGTGAATAGATTTTTAATTAACCCTTCATGATCTCTTATTTTTTGTGTGTTTTCTTGAATTCAGATTTCCATGACTTTTGGCTGTTTTCATGCAAAGGACATAAAATTTGGCCAAACTTTGTGAATCTGTTTGTTGGAACAAATTCTACTTTTCATGGTTTATATTCTGAAAATAATCAGCACAATTTTCAGTTTCAGACAAAGAACAGACGAGTTCAGTGGAGTCTGAGTCACTTCTGCATCTTCTGTCCTGTTGCCTCCATCCATATATTACAATTTGATTTCTGCTTGCAGGGTTTTCTGTGTTGAGATCCAATTGAATTATCAATCTTTATTGTTTCCTAGAGAAATGGAGCTTGCAAATTTTTCAGGTGATCTTAGCTTCATTTCAAATCTTTAATGTCAAATCTCAACATTTGAGAAGTTAAAGGTTCTTTTAACCTTCTCATCTTCACTAAATAATATTTCATGGGAATTTTGCATCCAATATTAACAGGCGGTGACATAAAAGTCTCCAACATCTGACTGCAGGATGTTTCCGGGTCAATCAGTGGTTCTGCGGGCCGCAGCTGTCTGACCGACTCTCAGGTGAAGATGCACATGAGGAAGTGAAGGCAGTGAAGACTCTGGAGTCAAATGAGAGATTTGGGATGTAAAATGTGTCTGATGAGGTTAAATATTAGGGAAAGCATCGTTATAAATGTCTGTCGTCTGAAATGCAAATAGTTTGTCCAAGATTTTGCATTTTCAGATGAAAAGCAGGAATCTGGATTTCTGCAGTCAGACTGGAGACCAGTGAATGTGCAGAGATGGAGAAAGTTCTGTGGTTCTTTGCTGCTGCATCAGGCAAGTTTTATTTCTGTGATTTATGGATTTTCCAGAAGAAATGTTGATGTGAAAATGTTTCTTCCCTGCAGCTCTGAGCGCCTCCCACCCTGAACGTCAGTACCATTTCGTTTACGAGCCAAAGAACTGGACCGACGCTCAGAGCTACTGCAGAGAAAACTACACCGACCTGGTCACCGTGGACAACGAAGACGTTGTGACGATCCTGAACAACATGGCCGATCTGCGGCAGATGGACTCCTCCGCTGTCGTAAAGTTTCTTTTTCTGTTTCTTTGCAAAGCTGATTTCAGGGACTTTTTTTACAGTATCTTTTATTGTGGGGGTTTTCCACCACATTTCAATATTTATTATTTTTGTCATATTTGGCTTTACATACATCCTTTGTGATATTTTCATTCTGAACAGACTGACTATGTTTTTTAGATGATAAAATCCCGTTTTAACTATTTGCTTAACATGTGGAATAAAAGTGAGCTCAGAGTTGAGAAGAACGCCGAGGCCTCTGACTTATTTTGAAGGTTTAAAAGATGCAGTTTGTAATTTTGAATTATAATTTCTTTCTGATCTTCTGGTCCAATGACTAAAAGTTCTGTTTCGTCCTGGTTGAGCAGGAGAAAGTTCTGCAGCATCCAGGTCTTTATGTGTGAAATGCAATGAAAACGTGCAGCGATGGCTGGAGGTCGTCTCGAGACAACGACGGGTAAATCTGAGTGTCGTCAGCAGAACCGTGGAAACTGAGTCCTGGTTCCTGATGAATCCACCAAGCAGCAACATGTAAACATTAAACAGCAGAGGGTCTAAAACAGAGCCTTGTGGGACGCCATAGTTAACATCATGGACCTGTGAGAAATGTGGACCGACCATAAAAGTTCTCTCTGTGAGGCAGGAGCAGAACAGAACCAGAACCGACTAGATGCTGTAATCTGAGAGCTTGTGAATCCAGATTACACCTAAAATCGTTTACAGTTTTTAAAAGGTCTGTCTCTGTTCTGTGATTCGTCCTGAAACCACATTGATACTTTTCTAAAATACCACTTAGTTAAAAAAGTATTTAATTGAATAAAAACAAGTTTAATGTAATGTTTGTGCATCTTATGTAGCTTTAATCTCTTCAGTTATTTACGAAATGTTTAGGAGCAAATATTGGGTTTTTCTTCCAGAGGACCATTTGTGAGGTCAGACACTGATGTGGGATAAGAAGGTCTGGCTGTCAGTCTGCGCTTTAATTCACCACACAGTTGAAGTCAATACTCTGTGTTCTTCCACACCAAACCCAGACTCCTCCGTCAGGTTCGGGTCAAGAACAATTTGAGCCGTCCAGCCGCGTTGGGACGGCTGACTCCCGGCTCATTCCCGGCTCATTCCCGGTGCGCGCCCGGCGTCGCTCCATCCAGCTGTCTGCACTGTAAGACCTGAATGCATCTGTGTGGACCAATTCCATGAAGGACATCTCTTAACCTGCAGCCCCTTCTCTCACAAACGTTTGCAGAAGCAGATTGAACGTGTCAACTCTCATTTTGGGGAAATCTGATGTATTTTTGCGTGTTTCGGTCGGAGAACAAACATCTGGATGTTTCTCAGTGTCTCTCCGCCTTTGGGATGCAGTCAGATGAGGGAGCAGCAGGAAAGATGCAGAAACGTAGCGACGAGCCTCAGAAGGAGGCCGTTGCTGAGACGGGAACGGTCCAGTTAATATGCAAGGCAGCAGCTTCAGGTCAAAATGCAAAGCGACACTGAGGAACTGCCAGAAACTCCCATTAAACCACATCAAATCCTCTAATCCTGGGGTTTAGGTTTGTGTCATTGTGCCAGTTTATCAGCTTTATTTACATCAGGTTTGCAATGGTGATGACTCCTGGACCTCCTGATAACTAATGGAAATGAACTGACTGCATCCCAGGAGCAGAACCAGGACTGGAGCTAAAATCTCAAGATGAAGGCAAAACCTGGAGTCTGGATCCCAGTTTTGTTATGGGACGAAAATGATTCTTCCAAATCATTTTCTTTTGCATGATTCTGTTATTTTTTTGTTACTTATTAGAATTATTGTCACTTTGGTCCTGAAAATATCACCTAACTTATATTTTGGTCTGTCTGATGATGAAATGTCTAAATCTGAAGTGATTGATCATGTGATCAGTTACTCGGGACTTTAGATCATTTTGCTGAGTCATTTGTTGGAAAGCTACTTTTTACTTTTACTTTGTTAAAAACATGTTGAAGCACAGTTGTGCAGGTTTTCTGCTCCTCTGCTCACAGGTTTTCTGTTTTCTGATGTTCAGTAACTTTTGAATTGAATAGTTTGCGATAGAAGCGACAGACTGTGATGCTGAATGTGACTGAACTGGTCTGGTTTCCAACAGGCCTGGATCGGTTTGTACCACAATGAGGTCAGATGGAAGTGGTTCTCTGAAGGTTTTTACCGGAGTGATGAGCTGAACTGGCAGAAATGGGAGTGGAGGGAGCCAAACCTCCAATGGTACATCCCGTCATGTGGGGCGATGGACAAAGCTGGGTGGTGGTACGATGTGTTGTGTGGGATGAACAAATACCCGATCTGCTACAATGAGTCAGGTAAGAATCTGGTTTCATTTCGTCTTCCTGCTTCTTGGTTACAGTTTAGCTAGTTTTTATAAATACTTTTACCATTTGGGGGCCAACAGGCACAAAGCTCAGCAAAATGTAATTATTGCAGAATATATTAATAAAACCAATTAATATCATAATAGATAAACATGAAACAAAACTTTCATATTCAGTTAAAAAAGGAGAAGAAAAAAAGCGAAATTCATTAAATCCGACTCACAGCAAAGCTAAATACACATCAAATAACATCAAATAATCATCATCAAATAATATTTAAGCATACAAAAGTTATCTTGAACCTCTACTTGAGCGGCCATCAATAATCCTGAGGACCACAAAATGGTTCTAACAGGCCGGACTTGGCCCACGGGCCTCAAGTTGAAGACCTGATTTCACCTGACCAGGAGAAAGAAAATGCTTTGTCTTCTTCAAACACGCAGTTTATTACAATATTTATAAAACAGAAACATATTTATGCTTTCTGTAGATAATATTACCTGCTCCAGACTCCCCCTAGTGGCGTGGAGCAAGTTTGCAGCGTTTATCTGTGCCATAGTTTTAGTATTTTCCAACATTTTATCTTTTGCTTCTATTTCCTGGAGTTGCAGCATTTTCTGTTTTCATTTCTTTTGTTCATTGAAGGATTTTGCTGCTTTTTTCTGTGATTGCATAACAGGATTCAAGAGTCTAAATAAAAAAAATTGCTTTTACATTCATAAGCAAAAATATCTCAAATTAGTACACAAACACTTTAATTTCCATTGCAGAAACTCAGAAAAGGACAAATTTAGCTGGCTGCTTTGTGAATAAATGTTGACATGTTGAAGTTTTGGTTGTTGATAAAAGGTCTTCAGGCCTTCAGATACAGGCTCTTATTTTGAAGTTAGATGTAAAGAAAATCTTTTCTTGGGTTCAGTCAGCAGCTGTCATCCAACATAAGTCAGACAGAAACCAAAGTGATTCTAGTTTCTGTGGTTTTCAGAAGAGGAGACGAGCGTTGTCTTCGTGAACGCCGAGATGAACTGGGAAGAGGCTCAGAGCTTCTGCAGGGATCACTACACTGACCTGGCCTTTCCCAGGAGCCAGGCAGAGAACGAGGAGATAGCAGCAGAGATACCAGGCGGCGTGTTGGGCTGGATCGGCCTCTACAGAGAGTCCTGGAAGTGGTCGGACGGACACATGTATCTGTTTCAGAACTGGCTAGAGGCCAAACCTGACAGTCAGAGCGAGCTTTGCAGCGTTGCCAGATTTAGCAGCTCTGGCGGCTGGGACGACTGGAACTGTGACAAACTGAAGCCATTTATCTGCCATGAAGGTGAGCTGCTCCTCAGTCTGAGCTTAATGGAAACGTGAAGGTCAGTTTGTGATGCTAGAAGGTAAAACTCTTCTGTAGAAGAAGATTGGTTCATTCTCTAACTTTTCTGCTAAATTGTTATAACGTTACAGTGAACCTCTGCTGAACTCTATTGTTCTGACCAAAACTCCTAAGAATGTATGCAAACGGCTTAATGGAGAAGCACTGTTGTGATGACGTCTGAAAGGGGCGTGTCAGGAAGTGTAGGAGGTCTTAAAGAGACAGAGGCCAATTTCAAAATGAAAGGTCAAAGTTCAGTTGGAGGAAACAGTGACTTGATTGTGTAAAACACTGACTCTGTCTCTCCGACGCCAGAACTGTCTCTCTGCAAACAGCATTCACATCCGGGACCCAGAGTCTCTTTTCTAAAATACTTTTCTCCCCTTAACTCTAATAAAATGTTATAAATATTTGTTTTAAAGACCCTCAACCCTTCACAACACAAGTGGTGAAAGTGAAGCTGGTGTTGAACTCGGCTCTGGATCTGAACGACCCGGCGGTTCTGGAAAACATGAAGGCGGAGGTAAAACATCCCAGAACTCTGAGTTTTAGCATTTAAGCACAAATATCATTGAATCTAGAAAACTTTGAAATGTGTCAGTGAAATGTTGGGATGAATCAGTAACTGCTGTGTTTCAGCTCCGCCTGATGCTGGATCAGCAGGGCCCAGACGTCAAGCTGAGCTGGAAGAAACAGCAGGACGGAAAAATCTTCCACCAGGAGGAAGAGGAGAAGCTGCAGTGAGACGACGACAAGCTGATGAGACTTTCTCAGCTCTTCTAACATGTTTTAAAATGAAAAATTTGTAAATCCATATTAACAGCAAAATGATGCGGTGATGTGAGATTTTCTTTTAGTCACAGTTATTCAACGTGTTTGAAACATTATTCAAACCTGATCAGTTTAAATCGCTGAGTTTTCAGTTTGATTCATGCATCTCTGCAGTCAGGCTCACCAGTTTTGATTTACTTTTGCGTTTCCTCTATGATCACTTCTGGGTTTGTTGTTGTCATTTAGGTCTTGCCATATTCAGATAATGTTTCCCTTTTGGTTTGTTGATCGTTTTCATCTTTAGTTCACCTCGGTTTATGTTAAATATCCTCCTGCCGTCTTTCTAACAGCTGTTTCACTCCTCTGATTCGCTCACCTGGTTCTGATCTCATTAGCCATTAGCCTGCCTCCCTATTAGAGCTCTCTGGTTTGTATTGTTCATTGCATGTCCTGTTAACAGCATTGTATGTCTTAATTTTTTGGTTATTAAAATCATCTGGCTTCATCTTTGTGGTTCTGTCCAAATAAAACCAAACAGGAAACTGTAACAGGACGCCATGTTTATTCCTGACCATGAGTTCTGCACGTCTGCACCACTGCTGCAGAATCAACACGCCTGTTTCAGCAGCAGTGTAGTATTCTGCTGCATATATACATAAAGGTTCCCACACATCAGCATGCTGGGTGTTTGAAACAGAGAGTGAAACTGACAGCTTGACCTTCATACTGACTGATTTGGTTCACAATTATCAGACCAGATGGAGTTTGAAAATTTCATCCCATTGGGAACAACAATGGGTCAGATGTTCCCAATGGGAAATTTAAATGTTGTAGTTAAATCTTGCAGGATGGATGAATAGTTCATTAATTCAGATTCTTATTTAGTCTTATTCTTACTTATTGTGTGACAGGATTTGATAGTCCAAAGACCTCCTCACATTTAGACCCATGTGTTTTATTAGACTGGCAGGAAATCCATCCATCCATCGTCTGCCGTTCATCCGGGTCGGGTCGCGGGGTCAGCAGCTTCAGAATGGATCCCGAGATACTTGAACTCTTCCTGGGGGAAGACACTGTGCCTAGAAATTCTGTCCATGAAAGTAATGAACAGAATCGGTGACAATGCCCTGGCGGAGTCCAACCCACCGGGAACGAGCCCGACTTATTGCCGGCGATGTGGACCAGACTCTGACACCGGTCATCCAGGGACCTGACAGCCCGTATCAAAGGGCCCGGTACCCCAGACTCCTGGAGAACCCCCACAGGGCACCCCGAGGGACACGGTCGAACGCCTTCCCCAAGTCTACAAAACACATGTGGGTGTTTTGTAGACTTGGGTTGGGCGAACTCCCAGAACCCTCCAGGACCTGCTGAAGGTGTAGAGATGGTCCAGTGTTTCCCGACCAGACCAGAACCAAACTGCTCTTCCTGAATCCGAGGTTCAACTATCCAACACACCGTCCTCTCCAGGACCCCCGAATAGACCTTTCCAGGGAGGCTTAAGACTGTGACCCCCTATAATGGAGCACAGCCTCCGGTCCCCCGTTTTGAACAGGGACACCAGCCAGGTCTGCCAATCCAGGGGAACTGCCCCCGATGTCCATGCGATACTGCAGAGTCGCATCAACCAACACAACCCTACAACATGCAGAGCCTTAATAAACTCCAGGTTTCAAACTGACTCACGTTTTTAGAGGAAACTTTTTGTTTTCCTGAACTAATTCCAACATTTTGTTAGTCTGATGCTGCAAAGACTTTTTAAATGTTCACTTTTTTCTCTCTCCACTGTGAAGTTTTTAAAACCATTTGCATGATGTTTGCAATCATGCAATGGTTCCAAGCATCAGGACACAGGTTTGTCCTGAACAGAGTAAACACCTCATGATGAAGTCATGCAAATTTGCTGTCTTTGGATTTTCTCTGTACAGTGAGAATTGGACCTGAAACGCAGATCTGCAGACTCTGGTTCCCTCTGCTCTGCGTGTAAAACAAACAAAACGACTATAAAACAATGTTTGATGATAGTGAGGAGAGACAAACTTCCTTTTAACTCCAGAATATTGTAAAGTATGTCGTATTTGGGCTGATAAGTCACAACAGTCTTCAATATTCAACAACGCTGCGAGAATCACTGTTAAACCCTTTATTAGGAGAAATAAAGGGTTCCCTCTGAAATATTCTCTTTTTAGGTTTAGGACAGGTTGTCATTCTAGTGTTCAAACCACAAAACAAATAGGCAAAAGATATATTTATATGTTTATCTGTACGTGTTTGTACAGATTGTCCTGTCAATGGTTTACTATTATAGACTGATACCAGTCAAATATTCAGGAGTGAAACTCCATGTCTTCATTTGCTGATTCACATATAAACTACATTTTCCCCCCAACATAGAAACATTTGATTCCTGACATTCTGTCTGGGTGCCTCAAGGACCCAGACAGATTCACTCTTTGTTCAGATGTAGTAAAAATTCAGTAAAGACCAAAGTTATTTATTGATTGAAGGTTGTCTTTCATTATTTCCTCTGATTGTTTTGAAGACTTTGCAGCCTCTTCTCTTCATAATCCTGGACTCTTGAAAACTCATGGAAGTTGGAATCCAACCTGCACAGAGAAGTCGGGTCTGACTCTGATATTAATTCATGAACATGTTATAAAAATGTCGTCTTAATTCAGAACATTTGCACCGAAACATGAACTCTATAATGAGAGATTTCCATCAAAATGAAACCTTTGAGTTGGGTCAGTTTTATGAAAGCACAGCATCATGAAAAATGACCTTCAATGATCACTCTCTTCAGGAGATTATTTGAAATCATTTTTCAAGTTTGTGGCGTAGAAATATTTGAAGTAATGTGCCGGATGTGGCTGTCAGTGGCTCCGTCTGACGGGCCCGGATCAGTCGGTACCGTGATGTGCTCAGCTGCAGGCGGAGGTTTCAGATGGAGGCTGCAGACGTTGAGCCAAACCCGGCCCGGTACACAGCGGACCGCGCTCACAAGTATTACAATGGCTGCTGGAACGACGTTCCCTGCCAGTGGCTGTATGAATTCATCACCAGTGGTGAGATTTTATATCAAATCCAGATTTAATAACTGGCAAGAAGAATTTTATTTTTAAGGTTTGCTCATGAATAAATGTAGGGAAGCAGATATATATTGGTAAATATCAGTAAATAAAGCAGTATTAATATCAGACATCAGTATTAATCTGCTTAAGCTTAGAAAATTTACCACTTGCAGTAATAAGTCATGATTCTGCCAAAATGGGGAAACTCAATATCTGAAATTATATTTAATGTAACAATAACAATAAAATTGATCATCCTTGTTAGTTTAAGAGATAAATTCCCACTTTGTACATCATTTTGTCCAGACGGGCCGACAGGAGGCCCGTCTGGACTCGCTGCACGGTTCCGCTCAGGCTGCTGTGATCAGGATGTTATGAAGAAAATGTATTTTCCACTTGGTCCAGAAAGCTACTCTCGTGTTTTGTGACCTGCAGCAGCACAGCGGCTCTGGCTACTGCACACGGCCCAAAGAAAAGCTGCCATGTTTCTGCATCACTTCAAGATTCCTGCTGGTCCAGAAAAGACACAAACCACGACATCAGTGAAGACAATGTCCAGGGGAAAGAGGACATTTGGACACCCTATGAATGATTTCGAGCCATTTCAGATACAAACATGAGTGTTAAGAGAAACTTGATTAACTGTTGACTGATTGCATGGAGGTGAGTCACAAATCAAAAACAGATGAAAGCCTGGAACTGGAGGCGTTTCAACCCGTCTCTTTGCTTCTCTTCTGGTCTGTTTCCAGGACAGGACGCATCATTTTTCTCCATGAGCGGATCAGTGAACTGGGCCGACGCTCAGAGCTACTGCAGGCTGCAGCACACAGACCCGGCCGGCGTCAGGAGCCTGCAGGAGAACGAGCGGACCTGCAGGTCTGACCGTCTGGACCGGCCTCCACAAAGACACCTGGTCCAACAGAAACCTGTTCCTGTTTTCCTCCTGTGCATCAGGACAGACATAAGGATGGGCATAAGGACGGACATCAGGACAGACATCAAGACATCAGGACAGACATAAGGACAGACATCAGGACGGGCATCAGGACAGACATCAGGACATCAGGACAGACATCAGGACATCAGGACAGGCGCCAGGCAGCGCGGAGATTCAGCCGTCTGGTCGGTGGGAGGACCGTCCTTCCTCTGGTTGGACCAAAGGACAAAAGAGGACGACACGCCAGAAATGACCTTGAATCTGATCAAACGTAATGATTCAAGTCTTTTCTAAACATGCAACATTTTGAAACCGGAGCATGTTTATAAAGGTAATGCCTCCCTCTATAAATTCTTTTTTGTTATTTCTTTTTTCCCTTTTTCCTGTTCCTTGTTTTTTCTTTCTATTTTCTTTATTTTACTTTCTTTTTTTTCTAACTCTTTCTCTGCCAACACTGATAATGTTCTGCACTAGTAAATAAAAAACCTATAAACATCATAACAATAACCTTAAACAATATTTGTGTCATTTTTACTGTCTGTTTATGAACCAAACCTTCATCCATAGCCCAGTCTAAACGGGGACAGCGCCCCCTGCTGGACGCAGTTAATCTGCACCATGTAAACCAGTTTCATTGATGCAATAAACGTTTTTAATCTAACAGTAAAAATCATATCAGCCCTCAATATTTCATGGTTTTAAATTTTAAATCGGCCATTTTTGTTTTCAACATGTGGAAAATCGGATTCTGTCACATTTAGTGTTCCATATCATTAAACTAACTGTAATATTGCTCAACAATTATTAGAATTAACACAACATGCAGTTTCTAAATGATTTCATTCAGTAAGGAAACAAAAAACCTTTGTGTTTATTTATTGGTAGTTTGATTTCAACCATTAAATGTGGACCAATAACACATAAACACACTGTAATAACTTTAAGTCTTTATAAGAAACTCAGAG